CCGCCTGGCGCTCTGTGGGCTCCATGGCTCAGGGCCCCCCATGCCCACTCCAGGTCTCTGCCACCGGGTGCTGGCAGAGGGCACCATGCTGCCAGCCAGCATGCTGCGAGATCAGTGCCCTCTTGGCAGCAGCATGGCCTAGAGGGACCAGCCCCTGGACTCCTGGGTCCTAACCCCAGCTCTGAGGCCTGGTCTGTGTGAATGGGGCCTGGGCTGCCCAGTGAGTGCCGATGCTGCTTGTCAGTGGCCACGAGGCAGCTGGACTCCCCACGGTGGTGTCTGAGGGGGGCTGACGGGGCATGGCGCTGACTGGGGCACGGGGGGCCTGAGCCGCCCCGCTGGCGGTGGGGCAGGGCACTGTTGGGAGCAGCTCTGGGGGGTAACGTTTGCTGTGTCCCCAGGAGGTGGAGGATGAAGCGGTGTACTCCACGCACATCCCGGCCAGCGGGTACCGGGTAAGGGGGCCAGGGCATCGGGCGGGGTGGGGGGGTGGAGGGACGGTGAGCCGCAGAGAGATCCTGGGACTGGCTTCCTGTGGGGGAGAGGGGGGGAGCCCAATGGGTCATGCTCACCCTGCTATAAGTGTGATAAACGCCCCCCGTGCCCGTGGGGGGGGACGCTGGCCCTGTGGCACCGGAGAAGGGGTGCACTGCAGTCTGCGTGCCTTGCCGGCGCCTCCCCCCAGGGAGAGCCCTGCTGCCCTCTCTCCACGGTGTGCGTGGGCAGCCCAGCCCTGCCCCCCACCGCTCTCTGTGCGCATGTCGCAGTGCGGGGGGTTAGCGTGGGACCCCCAGTGGGCCAGGGCCTGAGGGGCGGCTGCTGCCAGCTGGAGCCCCGGTGCAGCCACTTTGGACGGGGTAACTCGTCATCGATTGGGAGTCGGGTGTTCCTCGCGCGTGCCAATGGGCCGTCTGTACGGGGAGGGGCTGGCACCTTTCGTACCCACTTGCCCCGTCTCTCCCTGTCCTCTTTCAGATCCGGAAGGGGGTGTCTGCCTCCTTGGTGCCTTTCCCCCCCTCCTCCCCGCTGCTCTCCGGCGTGCAGGATGGCGCCCGCCACATGGTGACGTACTCGCTCTGAACCAAGGGGGAGGGACCAGCCATGGGGCAGACGAGTGGGGCTTAAGCCCTCGATGCTGGGTGTTGGGGGTGCCCATCTCTGGGTGGGTGGAGTGGCTGCATCGTCCCTGTGTCCGTCACTGGGGCAGATTCCAGCCCTATGCCTGGGGTGGGGGAGAGCTCTGTACAGGGAGCCCCATGACGGGGTTCCCCAGCCCCATGGGGGAGGGGGGGTCATGGACCCCGTGGGGAGCTGGGGGTGGAGCCTGCACCTGACGCTGCTCCACCTCCCCTCTAGACCAGCAAGCTGGACCGGCACGGCAGCGGGACTGACAGCGACTATGACAACACACAGGCTGGCGAGGCACTGCTCAGGTCAGGGGCGGGGCCAGGGAGGTGCTGCTCAGGTCAGGGGCGGGGCCTGGCAGGGTGGGGCGGGGCCAGGGAGATGCTCCTCAGGGGAGGGGCGGGGCTTGGTGGGGGGCAGGGCTAGGGAGATACTGATCAGGGGAGGGGCGGGGCCGAGGTGCACTTGGCGGCTCTCCAGGCCCGGTGCCCATGCTGGCGGGCAGAGCGCTGGGAATCCCACCCAGCGTTGGTGTGCAGCCCCTGAGGCAAGGGCCCTGGAGCAGCCTGGGGCAGGTCTCCTGGCGAGTGAACGCCTCCCATGGGCCTGGCACAGCCCCCTCCCTGGCTGGACCGGGGGTTGCCCTGGTTCATGGCCTGCTGCCCGGCTCCGTCCCTGCAGCATGGACGGGAAGCGGTTCCTGGACCTGGGGAAGGACGACGACTTCCACGCGGAGCTGGAGGCCCTGGACGGGGAGCTGGACCCCGGGCTGCCCAGCACCGAGGACGTGATCCTGAAGACCGAGCAGGTCACCAAGAACATCCAGGAGCTGCTGCGGGCTGCCCAGGAGTTCAAGCATGACAGGTAGGGGCGGAACTGGGGCTGGGGGCTCAGAGCCCTGGGCACTAGAGCTGAGCCCCCCCTTTCCTGGCCAGGTTCCTCATGGTGGGGGAGGGGCTGGGGGCTGGATCCTGCCAGCCAACGACCCCCTGCAGTTCCGGTTGGTCTAAGGGCTCTGCCTCAGTATCTCTTGGGCCGTTGTGTGCTGCTGCCACTGCCCATCCCCCAGAAGTGGCTGCATTGCTGGGGGTAGGGAGTAGGCTGCTCCAGCTCCCAGCTGCTGGTATGGCCATTTTCTCCACTGGGTGTCTGCTGGGGGTTGGGTGCGGGAGCTGGAGCCACCTGGCGTCCCGGATACGCCCCACTGGGGGTGGGACTCGTGCTGTGGCTGGGCCAGGCCTCACAGCTCTGCCTTCTCCCCAGCTTCGTGCCCTGCTCCGAGAAGATCCACTCCGCCGTCACCGAGATGGCCTCGCTCTTCCCCAAGGTAAGAGGGGCCAGTCTGTCCTGTGCCCAGGGTTCCACCCCTGTCCTGCCCCCGGCGCCCCTGCCTGGCAGCGGGAGCTGAGCCCCAAGGCCTGTCTCTGCCCTGCTGCAGAAGCCAGCCCTGGAGACGGTGCGCAGCTCCCTGCGGCTGCTCAACGCCAGCGCCTACCGGCTGCAGAGCGAGTGCCGCAAGACCATGCCGCCGGAGCCTGGCGCGCCCGTGGACTACCAGCTCCTGACGCAGCAGGTCATCCAGTGTGCCTACGACATCGCCAAGGCCGCCAAGCAGCTAGTCACCATCACCACCCGTGAGAAGAAGCAGTGAGGCCTGGTCCCTGCCTGGCGGCTCCCCCCCGGGCAGGACGTGGGGCTGGGGAATAGCCAACGCAAGTGTCCTTAGTCTGCCCCTGGGACCTGAGCACGTGCCATTCCTGGCCCCCCGTGCTGCCAGCGTGGGGCTCCGGCCGTGCCCCCTCCCCCCACACTGCCAGTGTCCTGGCGTGGCACTGGCCCAGCCCCCTCCCCCACGCAGCAGCCCTATGGACACTCCCCGCTGGAGCAGGTGCCAATGCCCAGCTGCGTGTGCCCCCCTGTACATAGCCCCTCATTCTGTTCTCCCAGCCCCACCTGCCCTCAGCCAAGGAACCACTAACTGGGCAGCGGGGAGCCCTCGGCCCTCTCCCCCGCCCCCTGTACAGCGTGTGTAGCTGTCTGTGGTGGGCAGAGCAGCCGCCCCCATAGCGGTCTCAGCCCACAGCATTACACTGGACCCGGAGCCCAGCCATGGCTGGCGACCGGCATGTTCTCCCTGTGTGTGAGTGTGAGCCCCCAGCCTCTCCCCATGCACGGCTGCTCCGCGGCAGGCTCCTCGCCTCATGCCCAGCCCCTGGGCCCTCCCCCACTGCCCCAGGAGCTGAGTCTGGATTTCGCTCTACAGCCCAAGTCCCAGGAGCTGGGTGCCCGGGGAAGCAGTGGGGAAGGGGCGGAGAAGAGCCCAGGCTGGCTGGGGCCTGTACGGCCAGGTGTGTACTGTACATTTGTATCAAATAAAGTTGTGACTGTGGCCCTGTCTGCCAGCAGCCCCGGCTCGCCCCTGGCCAGCCCTTCCTGCCCTCCGCCCAGCAGGGGCAGCCAGACGCAGCAACTCTCTTCAAACACTTTATTCAGCAGAAAGCGGGAGCTGCCCCCGCAGCACAGCCCTGGCCCCAGGTGTGTCTGTGCCCACGCGCTCCCCGCTAGTCCGAGCTCTCGCTCGACGCCCCCTGGAGCAGCAGCCGCCTCTGCTGGGGCCGCTGCCGCTTCTTGCGCCTGCTGGGGGCCGACAGGAGCCGCCTCTTGAGCAGAGCTGCACAGAGACAGAGCGTGGTCAGGCCCCGCCGGAGGGGGCTGCTGTGGGCACTCTCCCGAGGGGACGGGGGGAAGTAAGGTGCTGTGGGCACTCACGCGGGGGGGGGGGCTGGGGGCGCTCTCCCGAGGGGGGAAGGAAGGTGCTGTGGGCACTCTCCCGAGGGGAGGGGGGCTGTGCGCACTCACCGGCCAGGGGCTCCTGCCCCGCGTCGCCCGGGGCCCAGTAGAGGCTCTGGCTCTTGCGGAACTTGCGGTGGAGCCGGGTGTACAGGATGGCGAGGGTCAGCACCACCAGCAGGAAGGTCAGGGCACTGGCGGCCCAGGCCGCTTCCTCCGTGCGGGGCGTGGGCACGTAGGCCTGTGGGGCCTGCCCCTCCGGCACGGCTCCCCGCTGGGCCACAGCGTTGGGACACGAGCATGCCAGGCGCCCAGGGCCCTCCTGCACTTGGGGCGTTGGGGGGGGCAGAGCCGCAGACCCCTTGACACCTCCTGGAGTTGCACTGGCCTGCGGCAGAGCGTCTGTTGGTGGCAGCATGGGGGCTGAGTGCTGCCCAGCTGTGGCTCGGGTGCTCAGGGAGCTGCCAGAGGGTGGCGCTGTGTCCAGGTGATTCCGGTCACCTCTGGGCTCAAGGGTCGCCCCACCCCATGCCTGGCTGTGGCCAGGGCCCACGCTGGCTCCTGGGAGCTCTGGTGTCGGGCTCCCCGACCTGTTCCTGCTGCTGCCACTGATCCTGGAGCGTGGCTGGAGGTGGCCCTCGGGCACCGGTAGTGCCTTGTCCAGCACATGGGGGGCTCGCCGGGCTGCCATGGGCCTCCCCCCCACAGAGCGTGAGCGGCGGGGTCTGGGGTGCTTCAGCAAGGCCTGGGGGGTGAGAAGGGGGGGTCAGAAATGGGGAGCACCTGCTGGTTCCCCTGTAAGACTAGTGCCAGCCCCCCAGGGCCCACAGTGCCAACTCCACCCCATTTGCCACGGAGGGGACGGGAATAACCTGCAGCCAGGTACAGAGCTGGACTGGGACTCCCATCCCTTTCCTCCGTCAACGCCACCTCCACTATGGGACCTGCTGACAGCTGGCCCCTAGACCCCTTACATGTGGCCGTGCTCACCTGCCCGCATTGCCCCAGGGCCACACCACCGGCCGCCCCCTTCCATCCCAGACCCTCTGGATGCTTGTCCACGGCCTCCGCCAGCTCCCCGTGCCATCTCCAGCATGGCACCCCTCACGGCCAGTGCCAGGCGCTGGGGACAGGGGTCAGGTCAGAGGGCGAGTGACCCACCTCACGGGCATTGGGCATCCAGGCAGGAAAACCTGTAAACACACAAAGTGCCAGGTGGCGGCCCACCAGAGGCTGACTTTGACCCAAATTGGCAGAAAGCTTCTAAATACAATTGCTAATGCAGGTGTGGAGTGCGACCAGTCCTGGTCTGGTAAGTTTGGGAAGTATTTAGCTCCAGGTGATAGATCAGCAAATACCGTACCTAGCTCTAAGGGACAACCCAGGGAATTCCGGCCCAGTCAGAAAAATAATGGAGCAAATAATCAAGGAATCACTTTGGAAGCAGCTACAAGATAATACGGTGATAAGTCAAGAACAAATCATGTCAAACTAACCTACTGGCCTCCTCTGACAGGGTAAGAGCCTTGTGATGGGGGAGGGGAACGGTAGAGCTCGACTTTAGTAAGGCTTCTGGTGTGGAGTCACGTGACCTCACAAGCAAACTAGGGAAAGAGCCTAGACAAACCTACTATAAGTTGGGTGCAAAACTGGCTGGAAAACCGTTCCTAGAGAGTAGTTACCAGTGGCTCACAGTCAGGATGGACGGGCAGAACGAGTGGGGTCCCGCTGGGATTGGGTCTGGTCAATAGCTTCATCAGGGATATCGATAATAGCAAAGAGAGTGCACAGATAAAGTCTGCGGTCGATACCAAGCTGGGAGAGCAGGCGCGGTAGGGAAGATGCGGTGCGCTCTGATGCATGCGGCTGTGACAGTGACAAATGCAGCAACGGCGCATCGGACACGTCAGAGACAGATACTGCAAACCGCGCAAAGGACGTTGCATTAGCCATGCAGTAGTTCTATGTAGGGGTTACATACAAGTCGCTGGGTATACTGCAGTATTCCCACAATATACTCTCACAAGACATTCTGCAGCCCTTCGACGAAGGGACCTTACTGTCATGTTAGTACTTTACATGTACTGTCGTTGTAGTCAGTGACAGTAGGAAATAATTACAGTCGTTGTCCCATGTCTGCTTTACACTAGTCTCTCTGGCCGAGCAGAAATCTGTTTTATAATTACATTTTTTCAAATCAGTCCATTGCACAACGTGTGACAAATATTGAGATGTATTACATGGTACAGAGACACTCATGCTGTCCTGTCACCACAGCCTTTTGCTTTAACCAAAGGCAAAAAGGTTCAGGAAAATGCACAAACTATCTCCTGAGGCAAAATGTTTCCCCCACTCTCCAGAACAGGACTACGCTGAGGACACACTTGCATTACCAATGGTATTTAGAAGCTTTCTGCACAATTAGACTCTGGGTCCTTGAGGAATGGCCCTTGCTGGGATTTCATGTTTTGGGATTGGATGCCTGATAACATTGAAAAGTTACATGATATCAAAAACCGGCCCCACTTCCTGCCTCTGCACCCGCCATGGGATGCCCACTGGGCATCTGCCGAACGTGGGAGCAATGCCATTTTCCTAGCTGCTGGCTTACTCCCTAGTGCCCAAAATGGGTCTGGGCTGGTCGACTGCTGGGGGTGTGTGCACTGAGGACATCAGCCCCTGTGACTCTGCCCCCCACCCACTAGCCCAGGCAGCTCTGCTCTGGCCCCAGATTCTCCAGCCAGCCCCTGCCCGTGCAGGCCCCGACTCACCCGCTCCTGCATGACGCTGCCGTGGAGGGTCAGGATGTGTTGGACCAGCCGGGCCTGGAGGCTGGGCAGGGGGCCCGGGTGATGGAGGAAGGCACCCCGCTCCGTGCTGGGGGGGGAGAGAAGAGGCATGTCAGTGGAGCAGGGGCAGAGGCCGACTCCTGCATGCTAGCAAGGGTCTGCAGCCTGACCCTCGCTCCGAGGGGTGCAAAGGTGAAAGGCTGGCAGGACTACAGCCCTGCTGCGGGGGAGACGCGCTGTCACCCCGGGGCCTGGCGCAGCCGGGTGGGGGAGCAGGGTGCGGGGCACCCCGTCCCCCGGCCTCTCGGCTCTGTGCCTCGGGCTCACGCACCTCGTGCTGGGGCGACAGAAGGGCACACGCCGGCCACAGCCCCCAGCAGGCGGTGGGGCCCACTGCCAGGGGGCAAAGCCAGGGCTGGAGCGGCCCTTCCACACCTCCCCGCCCCACAGCGCCCCCTCTGCCCCCGGCCCCCTTTGGGGCGTGACCCCCTGGTGCGCACGCTCAGCCCCCTGCCAGCCCGGTGCTAACAGCTGAGCGTGGCCCCCCCCCCCCCCCCCCCCCCGCCCCGGTGCCCCCCCCCGCGCCCCGGGGGGTCGCAGGCCTCCGAGCGCCCCACATCGCTGGCGGGGGCGGGGGCGGGGGCAGAGCCGGGGCCCCACCCAGCCACATGCTGCCGGCGGCGCTGACCTGCGAGCCGGGCCCGGCGGGAGCAAACGGGCGCCGCCGCCAGCCCCGGGCCCGGGCGTGTGGGGCTCCAGGGCAGGGCTGCCATCTGGGCACCGTCTCATTGGCTCAGCCGCGGGAGGGCGGGTCCCGGGCAGCCAATGGGAGCGGGCGAGAGGGCGGTGTAGGATTTAAAGGGGAAGGCGCCGCCCGGGCGGGCCGGGGGGGGGCCGCGGGGGGGGGGGGGGGGGCAGTGCCAGGACCCAGCCCTGTCACGTGACGACGGTGGGGCGGGATCTGTAAGGGGGCAGCACGTGCCCTCGGACGGACGGACAGACAGACAGACAGCAATCTGCCCGCTCTAGGCGCTGGCACCGGGGGGGGGGGGGCCAGCCGCGCGCCGCCCCCCGCCAGGGGGTCCCTGCTGCTGGGCACCCTGGGGCTCTGGCATGGCTGGGGCCGGTGAGCGGGGTCCTGCCGCCTGGGGGGAGCCGGGGCTGCCCCGCGGGAGACCAAGCCAGCGCCAGCGCCAACCGCAACGGCAAGTTCAGGAACAAACCTTAATGCGCGAGGGACCCCAAGTCCCTGCCGGGCCCTGCCCGCCCCTCAGGCCCTGCCCCTCGCCAGCCAGAGCCCGCCTCCCCCTGCCGGGCCCTGCCC